GACTGAAATATCATTCCTGTTAACCACTGAAACAGCAATTTCCATTAAAGATGGGGACTGGATGTTAGATTACAAACAGTGAAGGAATGAGTGAGAGATAAGGCATCTCAATGTACTACAACAGTGATTTAATAAAGGGAAGAAGGGAGACAGGGAAAACTAATAAAATGTTTTTGCAGTAATTGGACTAGGTATATTTATAGAGCAGAAGAAAAATTTATGTAGAGAATAAAACTGAAGACATAAGCAAGAAAAGTGACTAAGATCCCATAGGAAGTAGAAGGTCAAGGGATCAATATCTATAGAAGAGCCCTTCTGGACAATATGGAGGCAGTATTCTTCTTCAGAGACAGGATTGAAGGGAGAGAAGAATAAGCATGCAGCAAAGGGTTTAAAACTGCCACTGGGAAGAATCCAAAGAGAAATATACAAGGCTCATAAGAAATAATATGCAAAGCATTCTATTATCTTTACAGCACATTGGCAATGGAGAGCTCACCATATTATTTTTGTCAGAAATAAATAAAAGTATCCCATGGGGTTGATTACAGGAAGAAAAAAAATAGTGCTGTGTTTAGAAATTCTTAATACACAATTCATCATATAATTCTAACAAAATCACTATTCCATTGTAGGATATTTTTAGTTCTAATTATCCAGATAGATTTTTAACAATGATTAAATTCACCATTTCACTTTGTATTTACTGCTATAATAATGAAAGGAAAACAAAACAATCTAAACATAGAAAAGAATAATGCTTTGCCATTCACAGAAGCTCACAGTGGATTTTCATTACACAAAGGATCAGAACAGAATAGAATGTTTATGAAACCACTGTCAGAGTTAAATCACCAAGTCTGTCAGTTAGTTCTGCTATATTATTTTGCTAAAGATCACATCATCCTTAACCCTAACCCTACCCTGACTGGAAATGTATATGGCTTTTCCAAAGGAATCTAGAGTGAAAGGTATATATGGGGTCACTACCAATCTATCACCATTCTTGGAAAGAGAGCCAATTAAAAGAGGAGACTGTACAGGTAGGAGCTTCTCCCTCTTTTTCTCTAGTCACCTATTTCCTCTATTCAGATAAGAACACGGACAACTGCAGATCTGAACACCTGTTCATCCCTCCTAGCCTCCGTGTCCAACCCAAAGCAGCATCCAGCTTCAGTGTAGCTCACCATTTGTTATTTTGTTTTATATCTGCTAATCAGAGATATATTTTGTTTGTTAATAAGGCTACACATCTCTCATTTTTTCCTGTTATATTTTATCATCACCTCTGTGTTTTAGCAGTAGAGATGGGATTTAAAGTATTAATTAACAATTCTATCTTCATATGCATTTTTTTCTTAAATCTTAATGACATTAAAGTAATTCATTGTATGAATGAACTGTAATTATTTATTCCCCTATAGATGGGCAGTACATTATTTCCAGTTTTATTTTATTAAAAATACTGTATTGAAAATCTTTATGCATATATTTTTATGCACTCCTGCTTTCCTTTAAATGGATTTCTAAACGTGGGCATGATGTGTCAAATTTACTTTCCTATCAACAACTGTGGAATTATTTAGCTCATGACCTTTCTATCACTATATAATATCTGATATTGTTTTTCCTTTTCGAATCTGAAGAGTGGCATTTCTGAAAATCTTTTCCATTAATGGTGGACTTGAAATTTCTTCTGCCAATTCACTAACTAAAATATAACTGCAAATATCTGTTCTGGGGTGTGAGAGACTGGATGTAGGAGGATGTATTTCTTGATCAAGAATACGTTCTTTGAAGTGGAGGGTGGGTGGAAGAGATCAACAAATGAATGTGTATGCATATATGCATAACTTGTGGACACAGACAATGGGGTGGTGAGGGCCTGGGATGGGGGGATGGGAGCAGGCTGGAAGAGGTTAATGGGGGGAAAAGGAGGACCTATGTAATACTGTCAACAATAAAGATTTTTTTAAAAAGAATATGTTCTTTGGAATAGAAAATGTTAAATGATAATGGTTATACTGTACTTTAACTTCATTTACCTCTCTCTTATTTATAGCAATAAACATCAGCATTTGTATGTTTTAATGCTAATAAGAGGCAAGTTATCCTATCTAATAATAGACAGACATGGTAATTAACCATACTTCTGACACGCTTCCCATTGGCTAATCAGGGCAATATGCAAATTAACTGCCAACCAAGATGGCGGCCGACAGCCAGGCAGCTGAAGCGAACAGGAGGCTTGCTTGCTCCAGTGATGGAGGAAGCCAAGGTTCCCTGCCTGCCGCTGCCGGCCTCTGAGCTGCACTCTAAGAAACAATGTTGCAATTATAGAACCTAAACAAACCCCAGAAACCTGCTTTCAGCCAGCCGAGGTCTCAGAGCTGGAGCCGAGCCTCAGAGCTAAAGCCGACTCTCAGTTCCAGTGACAGCCATAGAAGGTAAATAAATCCCAGAATAAAAAAACAAAAAGAAAAAAAGGAGAGGTTGGGAGCTTAAGTCACCCGCCAGCCTGAAAACGGCTCTCAGCCCCTCACCCAGACTGGCCAGGCACCCTAGTGGGGACCCCCACCCTGAAGGGGGTGTGACCAGCTGCAAACAGCCATCATCCTCTCATCCAGGCTGGCCAGGCACCCAAGCGGGACCCCAACCCTGATCCAGGACACCCTTCAGGGCCAACCAGCTGGCCCCCACCCATGCACCAGGCCTCTATCCTATATAATAAAAGGGTAATATTCAAACTGACCCTAACAGCAGAAGGACTGGGAATGACTGGTCACTATGACACACACTAACCACCAGGGGGCAGACGCTCAATGCAGGAGCTGCCCTCTGGTGGTCAGGGCGCTCTCACATGGGAGGAGCTCTGCTCAGCCACAAGCCAGGCTGATGGCTGCCAGTTCAGCAGTAGTGGTGGGAGACTCTCCTGCCTCCTCAGCAGCGCTAAGGATGTCCGACTGCAGTTTAGGCCTGCTCCCCGCTGGCAAGTGGACATCCCCCGAGGGCTGCCGGGCTGCCAGAGAGATATCTGATTGCCATCTTAGGCCCAATCCTCCAGGGAGCGGGCCTAAGCCAGCAGGTGGTCATCCCCCAGGGGTCCCAGACTGCGAGAGGGAACAGGCCGGGCTGAGGGACCCCCCCACCAAGTGCACAAATTTTTGTGCACCGGGCCTCTAGTTATGTATAAAAGAAAATACATTTTAACCACCTAATATAAGTTGATTACCTTGAAACTTTTAAATGCTCAAGCTAGCATTTAGAAATCTTTGAAAATAAATATGAACTTCAATTCAGTATCTTGGGTAGTTTAAAGGTCTGCTAGCTTGTAAAAGTGAGAATTTAATTAAAGTAAAATTTTAAATGTCAAAAAGATTATAGATGTGCACATATTTATAATCCAATGCTTATATCAGTAGTTCATTTTAATGTCTGTAATATGCATAAATGTCTATTATAAATATGCATACTAATTGCAAATAATGGCTCCATAAATAGTTTGAAACATTGCGCTTTACTATACTTAAACTACAGATTAAAATACAAGTAATAACCCCCAAACTAAGATCCTTTATTTAACAATTGAAAAGAATCACATAATTGTGAAAAACAGTATTGGGACATTTTTCATTTTGGAAACATAACTCCTTCACTAGGAATGGGCATCAGAAATATTTATTTCTCTATGCCCATGTTAGCTTATATTATTTTTATTTCTTATTTGAATGCTTAATTGTAACCAGAATATGTGTTTAAGAAAAGAAACACGATTCATTTTTATAACTTTGAATGCCCATGGACCATGTGGTTTCCAGAGTGTTTGCTTAATCACAGCTGTGATAACCTTTGTCCTACCTTTTGCTTCAAATACTTAATAGAGAGCAAAATAAATCTTAAGAGCTCATAATTTAAGCAACTCAAAGTAATTTCACAATAAAAAGAAATTTCTGAGATGATTCACGAATATATCCTGAAATCCATAGGAAGTTCTTTCCATGGGTTATTTGGATATTACCTATTTCACTAATTATACCACAATAGTTCATTGTGATCTATTTTTCTCTAATCCTCAACTCAATCATCTGGTATAGAGAAGGAAGTAAGTTAGTTTATCATGTCAGGTGAACCCTACTGTTGTAAGAAAACAAAAGGGAAACATAATATTAGTAGGATACCTTCATAAAATAAATGAATAAAACCTTAGCAACTCCTTCAAAACAAATCAAAGGTCTGAATGACAGTCATCACCTTCATTCTAATGGAATCCAGCAACAGCACAATCATATTTAGAAAACTACTATTTAGAAAAAATGTAAATAATTTTGTCTTTCCTTTCTCGGCATCTTCATTACATCTTATGGTGAGCATTTATTTATGTCCATGGGTTTTGCTGTTGGTCTCCTGCTGGACTCTGAAATTCTAGACTCTGACTCCAGATTGCCTGATTTAAACTCTCAGTTCCACCACGCTGGTTCTATGAACCAGCAAGTTAAAACTTCTTTTGACTTTTTCAACTTGAGCAAGTTAAAAACTTCTTTGGCCTTAGTTTCTCATTGTGATTTGGCATGATGAAATAAGTTCATGTAGAGAACATTCTTAGAACAATGACAAACTGAAAAATGTTAGCTATAATGTCTGGCCAGTGTGGCTCAGCATCTATCTCTGAACAAGGAGGTCATGGTTTGATTACAGGTTAGGGCACATGCCCGGGTTGTGGGCTCAATGCCAAATAGGGGGAGAGCAGGAGGCAGTAGAACAATGATTCTCTCTTATCACTGATGCTTCTCTCTCTCTCTCTCCCTCTCCCTTTCACTCTGAAATCAATAAAAATATATTTTAAAATGTTAACTATTATTGTTACATATAGAATGTGAACAACCTATTGGAAGGAACACAATAATACTTCTTACAAAGATAAGAAATAGATTGAGGATGGGCTAAAAGGATTCTACAACCGAGAAGCCCATTGTAGATGCTGAACCCAATGTTCTGCTTACCTGTACTCCGACAGGAAAACTTGGTTTTGTGATCACACAACCGTAAGGTGCCATTACAGCCTTTTTCATCACTACCATCTTCACAGTCTTTTTCCCCATCACAACGCCACAGGTCAGGGATACAATTTCCATCAGGATGGCATTGGAATTCATTCCCATTACAACCAGCAGGAGAACGAATCTCTTAAATAGAAATGAGAGAGAGATAGAGGGGAGAAGCCAGGAGAGAAATTATTTTACTTAATAATATTTTTCTTTCTTTAGACATTTTTATGATGATAGAGAGAATATATATTGACTTTTTATATTTTACATTTTTTTGAATAGTGTTGTTTAATGGCTATAATACATTCTAGTATTTTCAAATTCATCTCAGAAACATTAATAAGAGAAAATTATGTTTATCTTCCAAAGAGTTCCTGAAAATGTCACTTACATTAAAAAAAAGTTTAGAACAAGATAATGTATGACAATTCTATTGTAATTTTAATTAGTGTCTTAATGATTAGATCTTTGAAAGCCTATTCTCTTTGACACATAAAAGAGGTTTCACATTCTACTCTAAATGTTGACTTTGGTTGATCTTTTGACACTTCTCTAGTTAATTTATTTTGAACTTTTACGAGATAACTAAGTAAATAATACGTACTTTCTGGCTAATAAAATCTTTATAGGATAACATTCAAAAGTTTGAAAATAAAAAGACCCCATGATAAACACAAACTCTTTAGGATGTAAGATTATAAATCTAGAATCACAGCAGACACATAAGAATTTAATGAGGCACTATATATTCAAAGTCAATTTATCAATTAATAATTTATACACTACTCAGATAACTATATTCCTCAAAACTTGATAACTAAAAATATAGGTTAAAATATTCTGGTAAGCATAAACAAGAATAAGGAAATAAAAAATGTTGGTGATATAGATGATTCAGAGTACAACTGAATAATTTGACTGTAATCAGTAGCATATTAAATTTTTATTAATATTTAATATTGTAAGATAAAGTAGCCAGCATCTCTGAATTGTTGTAAAATATTTTAGAATATATGTTTATATACATGAGTTTTAATGTAATAAATCTATTGTCTTATATAACTAATCCAGCAATTAATCTACATATCTATAACAGCAATTATTCTGTAACATTATAATGAATTTGAAACAGGTTCATGTGAGTTACCTATTATTTAATGTGCTGGTTTGATAGGGATCATGTCACTATGAATTAAGATTAGAATCATTTAGGTCAAAGCTAAAAATAACAATTATATCACCAAGGCAGCTACTTAAACTTGTAAGACCTTTATTTGTTCACCTGGAAAGTTGAGAGTCTGCAGAGTTGTAAGAAATAAACTGGATATCTGTAAATTATTATTATAACTATACAATTTTGTAATGCTGTTAATGCTTATGATATAAATAGTTTGGTTTCTAATATTTTCCTAATTTAAAGATGCTCAACAACTATAATGTCAGGTGGTACAATATTATAAAGGTGCTCAAAATTGCCTTGACTCTTCACTCTACTTCCCAAGTATTCATTCCTAGAATAGTAATGAAATAACAACCAAAAATAAAAATATCCTCACTGAAGCCAAAACACACAAGGAAATCTGTTGGTAAAAAACAGTTCAAATTTAAAGAAAACATATTGAACTAATTTCCAAAAGTAACCTCTGTTAAGAACACTTATAATGCCTGGCCAGCATTGCTCAGTGGTTAAGTATCGACCTGTGAACCAGGAGGTCATGGTTCGATTCTCAGTCAGGGGACATGCATGGGTGTGGGCTCAATCCCCAATGTGGGGAGTACAGGAGGCAGGTGATCAATGATTCTCTCTCATCATTGATGTTTCTCTCTCTCTCTCCCTCTCCTTTCCTCTCTGAAATAAATGCAGATTATATATATATATGTTTTTTTAGAAAAGAACACAATAATTACACCCAGTTTACAGAGAAGGCCCTGACTTTAGGCTGGCTATGAAATGCCTTGCAAAACCAGCCAACTCTTTTTCCTACTTTCCTAGTTATCCAAATCCTTCTGACTTCAGATATATAGACTTCTTGATTAAACAAAATGAGTGAGTACACACAATCAATAAAGATGGTAGAGTCTCTGCACATTTGGAAGATATATATGAAATGTGACATAGCAACTTCCCACTATATTTAATTTAGTATCTGCAGAGTATCCTATTTAACACTATGGCCTAACCACTACAGTGGTAAAGGATGCTGAGGTTGGTTTAATGTTACAAAATAGTCACAGGGATGTAAAGTACAGCACAGAGAAAATAGTCAATAATATTGCAATCACTATGTCTGGTGCAGGTAGGTGCTGAAAATATTGGGGGGGGGGCACTTTGTAAAGTATACGACTGGCTAACTTCTATGGTACACACCTGAAACTAACAGAAACTATTATCGAATGTAAACAGTAATTGAAAAAAAATAATAATTAAAAAAAGAATTGTGACGTCTTCAAGCCTAGTATTCTTCTAAAGATAACTTGAAAATCATGTGATTTCAGTGTTCAGGAAAAAGAAAGGAGAATAATCAAATGGAGTTCCGAGATCCACTGAGCTAAGCAATTCTAAGAAGCCACCTTCCATGCAGCACCGAATGGTCTTCGGTTCTTTCTCCTACTACTTAACCTTCCTTAGAAACAACACAAAACAAAACCAAGCTCAGATCCGCTGAACTTTATAACCTGCAGTGTGAGCTCACCAATAAATTATAAACACTGTATTTCAGGTAATTGTCACTCAGTGATTTAAAATAATAATTAATGGGAAGTATGGCCTATCAATTTTTCTACTTTGTCTAAAATAAGAGTGAAGACTGGCAACTTATATATTGAATCTGCTGTTCAGTATATATAATTCGGCAAATACACTATTGACCTTTTAAAAATCTAAAAATTTTCTTTAAAAATCTAGATTTTTTTTTTTTGTGTGTGTGTGTGCCCTGGACAGTTTTCTCAGTGGTTAGAGCGTCAGCCCTCAGGCCGCCGCCAAAGTCTCAGGTCTGGTTCCCTTTTACAGGTACCTGTACTGCAGGCTGGATGCGGGTCCAGGTCCCAGGGAGGAGACAGACAGAAGCTAGGTAGACGGAGCGCCACCCGAGCTAATGCGAGGCTATCAGTCCATGTGTGGAGGCGCACACGGCCATCAGCCAGGTGGGAACAGGGGTGTGCTCCCCGGCAACGGGATCATCAGTTCTCCATTGTGGGCTGTGCCAGGAGAGAGGAGGAAGGTCGCCAGCCTTTTTGGACGTATGCTTGTTACTTCCGGATTGGTCCTTTCAAAGAATTTTGCCTTAGCAACATCCTTGGGATTGGTTATCTGCAAGCTGCCTGTCTTAGCAATGGCCATACATTTTAAAGTTCATGCCTTTGGCCCACACCCTTCCGTCGCCGCCCAGCTGGGGTGTCTTAGTGACTCTGATTAGTGGGGTTCTTGGGTTGTACTTTCCCTTCCTGTGGCCGGATGCCAAACCACTCCTGACTGTAGCATGGAAGGGAAGCTCTGCGCGCTGGGCTGCTCCTGGAACCCCGGCCACACCTTTTCCGGGACTGGCTTCTCCCACTGTATTTGTTACTTCATTCTTTGTTTTTTCGAGACAATGAACTCGGACTCAACATTCCACATTTTGGTTTCACTGGTAGGGGCTTGTGCAGGAGGCGACCAATTGATGTTTCTGTCATCTCTCTCTCTCTCTCTCTCTCTCTCTCTCTCTCTCTCTCTCTCTCTCTCTCCCTTCCTCATCCTTCCCCTCCACTCTCTCTAAAAAAACAAGAAAAAAAATCAATGAAAAAATATCCTTGGGTGAGATTATAAGCAAAAACAAAAAAATCTAGATTTTCCAGTTTCTTGAAAAGAGGAGTAGGAAGATTTTTGGACTAGCATCCTTGAAGAGCAATACCGCTACCGGCTTTACATGGGGCTGGGCCGGATTGTATTCACAGCCCCCTATTATCATGAAAAGAAAAAGATAATTTCTATAGGGTTTTTCTTCCCCTAGTACATTTTTTCTCCTTGGTAGAAGTGGGCAATAGGTCAACTACTCACTGCATTTTCTTTTGTTTCTGAATTACTTCTAGAAAGCTGTGGACCATTTTTAGTTCACTCTTGCTTCAATATTGCCAGTAATTTTACTCTCTTGTCAAAATTAGATTTTCTTCTTTATGAGTCTTTTTTATTGATATTTGTGAATAATCCTCAAACTCACCATGTTACTCTCTTTTCAATTGCTTTTTAGAATTTAGAGCCAACTTTATGGATAATTTTTCATGATATGTATTTGTTTGGACCAATCTCACTCTCAGATTTACTCATGTTACTCATCCTTATTCTGCCTTTGTTTAAATCCTTCTTCTTTACAACTTCTATTATTTCCAGGTTATAGCTTAAATTATTTCTGGAAGCATTCAGAGGGCTATGTGAATAAATAAACAGAATAGTGATATGCATTGAAGCTTTAAAAAGAAACAACATATGGTACACTTAAAATGATCTAATTTAGAAAACACTTTATTACTTTAAATAAAACTAAATAGCATATACCAAAATTTACACTAATTTCTATTCCTCGATCCATTCTTTATTTCTTTAGGAACTATGTTACCTCAAATATGTCAATAATAAAAAATTCCATGTTTTATCGAATTATTATACGATTGATGTTTTGACTCTACACATATTCCAGATTTGGTTTCAAAGGTCTAGTTCTTTTAAATCATGTTCTTTATCCATCTCAATGATATAATAGAAAATTCTCAAGAAGAAGATTATGTAAGCTCAGAAATCTAGATAGATCCATCTGATTCAAAAAGAGGCTTACAGAAGATAAATTGTTGTTTGGGGAAAGGGTCACTTCTCCTGATTCAGCAGTCTGTCAACTATATATCTAGAGGACTAGTTTTTTAGCTCAATATTATTTACAGCCCAAAATAAGCTGTAGTCACAAATATCAAAGCAGAATCTGTGAAAGGAGAGAATATGCTGCTATTGTCTGATACATATTTTTTAAAATTCCATTTGTATTTCATTTGCTTTGTTTGGTTTATCTATGATTCATAGGTGAAGCTACTCATTTGTTTTCTTATTGTCAATAAACATATATCTTATAAATTGAAAATGTGGTATTTCCCTAAGGCTTTTCTTATCTTTT